CAAGAATATTTCTCTTTACGGAAGAATTCAATAAAGTTACTTGGATTCCTTAAACGAAAATTCCAATTATTTTCTTCTTAAAATAAATGAAATAAAATTTTAAGCAAACAAAATCAATTCTGATGGTGAAGTTCAAGTGGCAAAAGTTATTGAAAGATTACTTGAAGTCAGGTGTTCAAACCTTGGAGGTGACAAATATAAGCTTGGAAGTTTGACCCTGCCGTTGAAGGAAAGATAAAAAAAAACAAAAAAGAAGGGAAGTTGCAATGTGGTGCAGTTCGCCCGGCGGGTCAGGCGGGACGGGTCAATCGGGTTTACCAATTCTGGACGGTCCAATCATCCAAACGGGTCTGGACATCCACTCGGTCCGTTTCAGCAACCGAGTGATGGTTGATTGGTTCAATTGATCGACCCGGTTTGATTTTAAAAACAGTGTTCAGTCCCCTCTCAATAACCCAACTGCCTCTCCACTTATTCCATGGCATTAGGTAATTGTTTCAAGCTAGTTGCAGATTTATGAAACTTACAGATTTATGAAACTTACATTTGCAACAGTAAGACCTTGGATCCATCTCTCTTCCAAAGACTCAAATATGTGAAGGATGGAACTTTGCCCAAGCTATTTAAGAGCTATTTCACCAAAGGACACACATCTAACTGGTTGTTGGAGATTTTCCTTCCTTTCATGATCCACCTTGTTGGCAGGTTTTACTAGCATACTAGCTTTGTTCTATTTCTATATGTTTGTTTGTTTTTAGTGTTTTCTCAGTATATGTTGGTATTTCTGCTAAAATCCTGTTAGCCACACCTCACAATAGAAATTGGAATGTAAGGTGTGTCATCTACTTTTGCAGGAAAATCAAGAAAAGGATTTGTTGACAATCCTCTTCTTCCATTTGACTTTTTTTTCTATGAAAAAGGTTGTTAGAAGAACATTGTTTAAAATGCAATGCACCTGAGTCAAACAATTGGCAGAAATAAGGGATTAAATCCTACACAATGAACTCAAACTTGCTTTGGAAGTACGTCAACGACTTTGGTTCTGATAAACAAATATCAAGAAAAATTAAATTTAAGTGCAAAAAAAGAGAATAAACTAAAAATAAGGGCTAGAAATTAATAATAAAAGTGTAGTAAATATAGCTAAATAAAAATCTAAATTGCAAGCAAAAAATATAAGTTGGCAAAAATATGGAAAGTGCGGTAAACTAAAATTCAACCAAAGCATAAATTGTAATAAAGAGGTAAAAGGGCTTTGCATTTAACTAAAAATGCAGACATGCTTGAATTTAAATTGAATATTTAACAACTAAAAAATCAAGTAGAAGTAAACAACTAAATAAGATAAATGTCGTGAAGAGTAATCTTTCCAAAAACTAAACCAACAATAAACATGAATCCTTTGGGGAATACTAATCTACTTCTATTGGACTAAGAATTCACAGACAACTTGTTGAAAATATCCTTGAGCTAAGAGATCAATAGATAACCTAGGTTAAACTAAGTGATGCTTATGTAGAACAATGAGTTTTGAAAAGTAAATTAACTTATGTATGAAGGGCATGCTTGTTGAAATTGAAAAATGTGTTGAAAACTTGTATTTTAAAGGCCTCCACAACTTAACCCATTCATCTAAAATCTAACCTTGACCCCCTCCATCTTCCACAATGAAACCAATTTCAATAGCCTTGAAATCATCTATGTCGTGCAAATTATCGGTAACCATAAACAGAAATCTAGTAGCTAAGAGCCGCCAAACCTTGTTTGTTGGAATCAATAAGAAGTTGCCCTTGTTTTTCTCAATTGACCTAGTCAAATCTCATCATGATCCAAGTTTGCAACTTCTCCACACCAAACAAAGAAGATGAAAAATTAACCCAAATAAAATATTACCTCTAATCCTTGAGCTTTTGATTTATTTGTAAAGGTCCAAAAGAATACTTGGGCTGCACTTTTCTTGGGCCATGTGATTGTCTCACTCTATCTCAACAAACACTTCAATTTCAAGTCCACTTTCAAATAAATGAAGTTGGACTTCCCAAGCTTAATTAACAAAAAATGCAAAGGTTTTAACTCAATAAAATTAATCTATATCAACCCATGGCAACATAAAAATAAACTCCAATATATTGGATTGCAACCAAATATTTTTCAATTAATTTCAAAAAATGTATGGCCACTTAATCTACTTATGGACACATGGAATCATCTTAAAAATTGCTAATTATGATGTAAACAGTTGGATTCAATGAAATGTTTAGTTTTTGTTAAATATATAAGTATTTTGAAGGTCAAAAGAAATAGGAATTTAAAATAAATTTGTTTCCACATGTCAAATTAGAGTTATTTAAATTATGTTTCAAATTAGTTAGGTTTCAATATAACTAATAAAAATGCAACTTCTTCAAAATTCATTTAATTTTTTTTTTAGTATTATTATTAAGAATGATTAATCTACAAATTAAATTAAGGTTTACTTGGGTCACTTGTTACTCATGTTGCAATATAAATTCACATGTGAGTGGAGTTGAGAAATGTGCATAAAATCTCATATCGAAGAGAAATAAGGTGTTAGAGTACAATACATGTAGAGGTTGATGAACCTAATAAACATGTTTTTTGAGTTCAACATGACATCTTCTCATGTGTATTTCTGCTCTCTTTACACTTGCGCTCTAGAGCTAGTCTAATTATCTTCCGAACGGCTCATATATATAATTTTGTTTGTAGGCAAACAAACTAAGAAAGATGAGACTCTTGAAAGTCCCATTTGGTTTTGGAATCTTCAGTCTTAGAGAATTTTCTATATAAATTGCTAAAGGAATTAGAAAACCATTTTTTAATATAATTGGTTAATTTTAATGTTAGCGTAGGGTTGAAAAAACTATTTTGTTATTTGAGATTAAGAAAAAGGGATAAGATGATCTCCCAACCCCAAATTAACATTAAAATTAGTTAATTCAAATTATTTTTTAGAGTTTTTAAAGCACCATTTAGTATGAATTGTGGTTTTTGATTTTTAGTTTTGATTTTCATAAATTTTATGACTTTAAACCCAAAACTCATTTACTTTTATTTCGTGTTTTTTACTAAATACAATTATGATTTTTTTTTTTATCAGCAAAACAAAAATATTTTATTAACTGGAGCACAAGAGGTACTCCTGCCCTTCTACAAAGAGTATAAAATGCTTACACTCCCAACAAAGTAAATTAATAACAGAAAATCATGTACACAGCATGATGACAACCCAAACACTAAAGAAACAACCGTCCAATTTGCCCATGTAAGAAATCCATATTTCCAAGAAAGCTATTTGGAAGGATGTTGCTGCTGGTGCTTGGTAAACAATTTGAGGTATCTCTTGTAACATTTCAGCTCCATTGCACATTCCCTAGGATTACTCTGCCACTGAGCTAATGAGAAAACACTCCCATTCACCTTATTTCTAATCCAGAAATAAGACTTCACTTGAATTAACTCTAGCAATTGCTCTCTAAAATCCCCATTGCTCCTAAATACCAAAACATTCCTCCCATACCATAAATACCAAGAAGTGACCAAAAAAATGCATGCTCCCATCTCCTTACCCGCCAATCTATCCAAGCACCATAGAAAAAAATCCACCACATCCCTCACTGTAGTCAGCATTACTACCTCCAAACCCCACCACTTAATAACTTTAACCCAAACTAACCAAGCTGCTTTACATGTGCAAAACAGATGATTAACATCTTTCACACCCTCTTTACAGAGCCCACACACCATACCATCCCCTTGTAAAACCACCCCTTGCTTCCATAAATTCCACCTTGTTGGAAGTCTATCTAGACACAACCTCCACCCAAAAAACCCCACTTTAGAAGGCACCAATTTACACCATATAAATTTGCACAATCAACCCTCAAGCAAACATTCCTTAGGAGCTAAAAAATCATATGCTGTCTTTACTACATAGCTTCCTTCTACAGCATGCCTCCACTGCCATGAATCTACCAAACCTTTCCTTAATTGTACACTCGCCAACATCGCCCACAATCATTTCTCCTCATCCTTTTCACGACCCATGCTCTCTCTCCTCCACTCTATACCCTATAACCAACATTCCCCTTCCCATGTCCCATTCTCCTTTATCGTACCTTCTTTATTTATAGCTAACTGAAAAAGCCTTGGAAATAAATCCCGTAGAATTTTATTTCCCACCCAAATATCTCTCCAAAAACTCACCCGACATCCCTCCCCAACCTCCCACCGAAACCCCTGCCTTAACATATTCTTTAACTTCTCTGATTTCCCACCTATACTAATAATGTCTCCCCAAATCTGCGACACCCTTAAATTCTCCACATTTGTAATACCACCTCCTGCTTGCCCTCGTAAAATTTCTCCTTCACTACCCTTTTCCACAACCCCTCCCTTCCATCCCCTAACCTATACCACCATTTTCCTAACAGCGCCCAATTTCTCCGACGCAAATCCGGAACCCCTAGTCCTCCTTTCGCCTTACTCCAGCAAATAACCTCCCATTTTACCCACGAGATCTTCCTTTTCTCCCCTAATCCCCCCACAAAAAATCCCTTTGAATATTAACTAATTGAGCAAGCACAAAATTTGGCATATAAAATAATGACATAAAAAAAGTAGGAAGTACAGAGAGTACCGAGTTTAGCAACGTGAGACGACCCCTGAAAGACAGCAAGGCAGACTTCCAAGCGGCAAGCTTCTCACAGAACTTACTAACAACTGGAACCCAAAACTTCTTACACCTTGGATTTGGATTTCCTCT